AAAAAACTGTTTTCTCATGGACTTTGCCACATTAGTGAGCTGACTTCAGACTGGTTGGCCAAGGCCGAAGATGTAAGAATACCTTTTCTATTTCATTTTTCCTCAACTTGCAGATGCATTATCACTCTGAGCTACTGAAATTATTATTGTTCTAATTTTTTACATCATAGGCTTTTAAAGTCGGTGATCGTGTTGATGTTAAACTTATCGAGGTATGCAGCTTTTTTTGTTTTTTTGAAATGCTTATATTCTATCATATAACTGAATATGGCTAGTGTTGTCTACTTAAAATCAATATATCCATGCATTTTTGTACTGGGTCCGTGCTATATTCACTCTGTATCATGCCAGTACATTGCTAATTACTAAGTGGTGGCATCTCACGTCTATTAATTATTGAGTTTCCTGTGGCCTTTTATTAAGGTAGGGCGCCTCACCTATTACAAATTGGTATTAGTTCGATGCTTAACATAGTATCGAAGCCCAAGTTTTGTTATGCTGTTCTTCATACCTAACCCCATGTGAGGCTGACAATCCTGGGTGAGGTTGTGAATTTGTTGGCCCTGTGAGTGAAACAAGAGGAGTGTTAAGTGGTGTTATCGCACGTTTCTTAAGTATTGTTTCATGTGGTTTTATATTAAAGTTGTCCCCCTTTACATTCTGTGTTTTAAAAGGCGCGCCCTAGGCGTGAGGTGCAGCCGGGTGATGAAGGCAGCGCCCGCCTGGGTTGGGGCGAGGCATTTTACGGGAGGCTGCTGGAGGCGCGCGCCTACGGGCTTTAAGGGCCTGGCGCCGGGCGCAGCGCTTTTGTGCTTTTTCATAGAAAAAAAAAGGAAAAAAACCAGATACAATAGGTAGAAGAAGAAGACAGTGAGAAGGAAAAGTAGAAGAACGGGAGAGAGCGGCAGAAAACACTCTCTAATTTATTACACTTTTATAATTCAACCCTAACCCTAACCCATAAAAAATTACTTATAAATCGGTCCAAATCTAAAACCCACTCTAATATTTATTTATTGTAATCAGATATTCAAATCGCGGTCGCGGTTGCGTTTTTGGTCATGTTGTGTTTATCACGGCCGCGGACGTAACGGATGTTATCGCAGTCATTGCGGGTTTCGCGGACGTGAATTTTTTTAATTCGCACAACTTATTACAAAATATAAAATTAATTATAAATAAAATTAATTTAATGATATTTAGAGTGTTTTCTAATCCTTATGAACTTCTAAAAGCTTTTATTAATACATGAGCATACTTTTTACCATCATTAATTATTCTTATATTTATTTATAAATTTCTTAAAAATATTATACAAAACATAAAATTAAAATTTGAATTTATAAATATAAACAATTCATTACTTCTATTATCAATATATAATACAAAATATAATAACTTTACTAACATTGAAGAAAAGTAAGTTTATTGCATAAATTAATAAATAAAAAAAATAATTTAAGTGTATAAAATTTAAATTCAACATTCAATCTCTTAAAATAAATCATAATCATTTAAAAAAAATTTCCATAAAATTATCTATTATTATTCACTTACCAAAAACAACATATTAAAATTTAAAATTCACAAAACTAAAATAAACCCAACAAAAAAAAACCCATAACATGTAACCCATATCTTATTAATTTATTTGGATTTCTTTTGGTTCAAACCCAAAAAATTAAAAGTAAAAAAATATTTAAATCTAAAACATAAATAAAATAAAAATTATTAAATCTCCAAGCCTCTTCTTCTTCTATCATACACAACAAAATCATAAAATTGGATTCCCATGTTTATTTTCGTTTTGTGATTTTCATCAAAAATCTTCATTTTTTTTCTTGTAGATGTGTTGTTTAAAGCTTTCCCTGTTCTTTCTTTGTTGAAAAATCATCAATTGGAACTTCATGTTCGCATGTTTTCCCCTCTTTGTTGTCCAAAAAACATGTATGGGTCTGGTTATTTTTTTTCCTTTCTTCCAAGCTCTAATCTTCCCTCTCCGCTTCACACTGTTATTTTGGACAATAACAGTATCGGACGATGGCACTACCGCGAAATAACGGCCGCTATCACGTTTGCGCTCCGTTATTTGATACCCTAAGGGTGCGTTTGGTTCACGGAATGTAAGATTATCAGTGGGAATAAAAGATTACCAGAGAATAGGATTACTGGAATGTTGTATTTTGTGTTTGGTTGATTTAGTAGGAATGTAAGATTACCGTGTTTGGTTAAAGGAATAAAAGATTATTGGAATGTATATTTGACCAAATTATCCTTATTATATATTTGTATAATATTACAAATTGTAAAATATTTATATATTTTCTTTAAAAAATTAAATTCATAATATTTATATAATTTTTTTACAAAATTAAAAATATAAAAAGGTTTAATGAAAGGATAATTTTTTTTTTTAACCCCTGAACTTCATATAAAATTTTAATCATAGATTTTTTTTTGTAAATCTAAAATAATTTAAGAATAAATTTGCAATTTAATCTTTGTAGAATTTTTATTATTCAATGACAGAAGAAGAATATTTTTGAAAAAAAAATAAAAATTTAAGGGCATTTTAGTCAAAAACGCCGATAATGTTACAATACCTAAGGGAAGGGAAGTAATGACATTCTCGGTAATATACCCTAAAAAATATACTATTGGTAATAAAACATTACCGGGAATGAGATTCCTAGCCAACCAAACAAAGGATTGTGGGATTCCCATCCTTAACCAAACACCCCCTAAGTGTAACATGTCCTTCATTCATTGCTTACATGCTTTTATTAAAAAGTTTATTGTTTTTATATAATATTTTATGTTCTTTTAATTAATTAATTTAATAATATATATAATTAATTTTAAAATAGTAAAATATTAAATTTATTAATATTAATTTAGTAAATTTTATTAAATATAAAAGTTACTTTTTATAATAATTTAGAGTTATATGAAGATTTTAAATTGATAATAAAATTAATTTATATCATTTAAAAATAAATTAAATAATAGTTTTAAATATTAAAATAATTATTATTCTCTCAAAGAAATTCAATTTTGTGTAGTTATGTTTGTCTTACAAAGTATTTGTGGGTTGTCAAAGTATTAGTCTGATTTAGCTTAAAAACCAAGGACATATTACCAATTGGTTTTAGAATGCTTAACATTTATCTTCAACATTTATCTTCACTTTGTATGAAAAACATGATATTCTATACATTCGGTTTAGCTTCCTACTTAATAAGTTGATAGGTATATGCTTTATTGGATTTTTACTATTATTTTGTGACATGTTCATGCAATACTCAACTATTCTGTGGCGTTGATCTATATACCAGTACTATGCATTTTAAATATATAATCAATGAGATGGCATAAGTGGTTTCCAAATTTTTATCCTTATGTTGATCTTGTAAATCCATCAAACAGCTATGTTGTTACAATTCTTAGTCTTTGCACCTTTTTCCTTCAAATAAACTCTCCATTAACTATGTCATCTAATGCAGGTTAATGATAGGGGACAACTTCGCCTTAGCCGCCGTGCACTTCTTCCTGTTCTTGAAATTTCAGAGGATCCCAGTTCAAAGCAGCTTACTGACAACCAAACTGGTGTAATTGTTGCCGATTTTGGTAAAGCATCTGATGAAGGTACACCTAAAAATTATGCGAGAGCACCCAAAGCAGATGGTTTACCTGAAGAGAAGATTGAACAGGGCCAGGCCAAGGTTAAAAGTAGTGCCGCAAGCACCTCTTTACTTCCACGGAAGAGGATCTTTAAGAGAGTAAAGAAGAGCAGCGGTAGAGCTGTCACTGGTGTCTCGGGTAAAGACGGAGACTAGTCGATAATCGAATGGAAGTGTTAATGTGCTGATAATATACTGACAAGAATTTCCATATCCAATGACCGTTGTGCGAAAGGTGAAAGAATTGCTTCCTCACAGAGAAGAAACAGAGGTAAGGCCAACCCCTACTTTCTTTGGTTCACTCTCTTTCTAAACATATTTCTAGTCTTAACTAGTTGCTTTTGGTTCCATTATGAGAACCCAGGTTCTTAGTCTCGTGCTGACTGGGCTTATAGTTACTAATCAGATAAATTATTGAATTACATATCGAGAGGTTACTTACCAATCGACGATGTGATGTTAATTATGACTGGTAGGTGGGTAAGAAAGGGGAAACATAAAAAGTCTGGGTTGTCTCAAACAAATGAAATGGCACTAGAACCTCAGAATTAGTATACTCATCGGCTGAAACGGGGGTACCGGATGCTCATCCGGGTTGTATGAACTGTACTGTTATTAGTAGGGGTGCTAAATGAGTTGAGCAGTTCATTAACGTTTGATTCGAACTCCAGACCTTAACGAGTTGAGTCGAGCAAGGTCCAACTCGACTTGATAAGTTAATGAGCAGTTGATTATTTTTTTTGTAGTAGTTACCTTGAAAAATTATTCCACTTAAAATAGAAAGTCTAAATAATGATTATTAAATTGCTAATAGACAATAAGAAAGATGCTAAATTACTAAGTAATAATTACTTCTAATTTATTTATCTATTAATTTTATAATAAACAATAAGAAAAATATTAGATTATTAATTAATAATTATAAATTTACTATACTTAAAAAACTTAAAAATCAAACTCTATTACCCTACCAAAAATTTTGGCGTGCTTAATGAACGAGTCGAGCATAGAGTTTTTTAACGAGCATAAGTCGAACAAAATTTTAACAAGTTTAACGAGCAACGAGTTGAGTCAAACAACAATTTTTTTAAGGAGCATGAGTCGAACACTGTTTAACTAGCTCGATGAGCAACCTCATTATTAGTGAATTTGCTAATAATAGAATCTTTTACAGGTACATTCATACAAAATGGAGATAGGTAAGCGTGGCACAAATTGGATCTCATGTTCTGTGAAATGTGATTCGGAAGCTATTGTTGCTTCCATATGTTTATGTAAGAAGGTAAACATGGAACAAATTGGATCTCAAGTTTTGTTGCAGAAAAAATACACAACATTTTGGATGGTTGCGAAGTTTTGATGTTTTGATTATATGCTCTACTACCTTTTTTTTCTGTTTTTTTTTCGTTTGGATGTCTTTAAATTCTTGAATTTCTGTCAGCGTTTGCCCTGTATATTTTCAATTGTTACCTTTGGTAAATACATTTTGTGCATTTGAAGCAAGGTTAAGAAAATTGGACTAGACATTTAAATACGATTTTAAATATATATATTTTTGACAAATATCAATTCCAATCTTATTTTTATCTAGAAAAAAAAAATGAAACTTTAAGGGAAGGAAAGGGAATGTTTCTAGTAGGTCTAACAATGTGAGGAAACAAAAATAAACAACTAAATATGGTTTTTAGTATAAAAAAAATTAAAGTACGAAAACGGCTCTTGCCAAACTGGTTTTCAAAGACATAAGTGTGCGTAATCACTTTGAGTCGAAACTCTGGGTGTGCGTTTCCGAAGATTCTGATCTTCGACAAGTAGTGCTCAAAGTCCTTAAAGCCATTAAAGCCGTAAAGGGTGGTGATGGAGTCCTTGGAAGCATGAATTTTCAGGAATTACAGACGGCCTTGCGAGAGTGCTTGAATGGTAAAAGGTATTTGCTTATTTTAGATGATGTCTGGAATGAAGATAACAAGAAATGGGTTGAACTGAAACAGTTATTACCCGGAGAAGCTACCGGAAGCAGAATTCTTGTTACCACTCGAAGCAATAAAGTAGCAAAGATCACAGGTACAGTCTCCCCACACAAATTGAAAGCTCCTCCTTCCTAGGAATCTTTATCTTTGTTTCTCAAATTTGCTTTCAAGAAAGGGGAAGAGAAACGACATTCAAACCTTGTGGAAATTGGGAAGCAAAATTGTCGAGAAATGCAAAGGGGTTCCACTGCTACTGAAGACCTAGGGGAGTATGCTTTTCTCCAAAACATCAGAATGAGAGTGGGAACTTGGGAAGAATAGTGAGACTTGGAAATTAACGGAGAAAGATGAAGAAATAGTTTATGTTCGGAAAATAAGTTATGACCAACTCTCTCCTCGGTTGAAGCAATGTTTTGCTTATTGCTCACTCTTTCCCAAAGCCTATGAATTTACTGAGTTTGGTTTAATCTCGTTTTGGATGGGCTTGAATCATCGGATGAAAATGAAAATCCGTTTGATATTGGAAGGCAGTATTTGAACGACCTGTTGTCACGATCTCTATTTGGAGATTTTCGTGTGGCATTTCTTTATAGTGGATTCAAAATGCATGAACTTTTACATGATCTTGCGTTATTGGTAACAAAGAACGATTGTTGTTTGGGGAACTCTTTTAAGCAAAACATTCCCCCAAGTGTTCGGCATTTGTGCCTTACAGACTACGATTCCTCCGACCAAAGTGCTTCCGATTTCCTTGGTAAATTAGGACATGTGCGTACACTTATGTCTCCCAATATTGGAAAGACGGCAACCAGCAAATTCTTGGATGAAAATATTCTCGAGAGATTTCAACGTTTGCTAGTGCTTGATCTTTTTGGGTCTACTTTCGAGGTCTTGCCCAAATGGATTGGTAATTTGAAGCATTTAAGGCATCTCAACCTTTGTGACTGTGGCCACATCAAGAAACTCCCAACTCCATTTGTGTGTTGCAGAATTTGCTCAGCCTTGGTCTCGCTGGTTGTGATCAAATTGAAGAGCTACCAAGATATGAGGAAGATGACCAGTCTCATATTTTTATCTTTAACTACAAAGCAATGAGATCTTAGTGGCTATGGATTAGAACACTTGAAATCTCTTCAGTTCTTGATCATATGGGGTTGTCATAATCTAGAATATTTGTTTAAAGGGATTCAAAACCTCACATCTCTCCATACATTGGGTGTTGCCAATTGCAAGAAGTTGGTATCACTTACACATGGTTTGAATAATCTTACTGCATTGCAAACTCTTGTTATTGGGATTTGTGAGAAGCTTGTTTTGAGTGAGTGTAACACCCCAATTTAGGGGCTAAATTTTAGAAATTATAAAGTATTAGATTTAATTGGTATTTTGAAAGAAATAGTGGATTAAATTGTAAAATTTCAAAGTTGGCAAACCGTTTTAAGAAGTGCAGGAAGTTCAGTGACTAAACTCATGATTTACCCATTTTTATGGGATGCATTATAACACCCATTTCCCAATTGTTTCTGCAGATTTTTCTCAGTTTCCCCCCTTCAATTCTACTTTCAACTCCGATTTACTCGCCGTCCGACCTCCGATCGACGAACCGAAATCACCATCATTAATTCACGACGATCCGACCATCCGTTTTTGACACCTCCCAAACCATCGTGTTCCTTGCATCGTTTCGAGTTCGCCGGTGTCCTCCGTTTCGCCGTCGTCGCCGGCGCGTGAAGTGGTGAGAAAGTCAAAGTTTTCAATGTTTCAGAATCAAGCTCTCCGCCATTCAAAATTGTGAACCGAGCTCGGTAAGTGTCTTAAAATGCCTTAAAATAATTTTTAGGAATTATTTCGAGAATTTTCTGATACCGTATCACTGTTCACGCGCCACACGCGCCGCCACTACGTGTTGGGGGTTAATTTTTTAATTAATTACTGTTAAGGTGATATTTGTGTAAAATTCGGGTGTTAGTTTTGTAAATATTTGTAGAAGGTGGCTAATTTTGTAAATAATTTTGGTTAGGAGATATTTGTGTAAAATGGTCGACTGTTGACCGGTGTTGACCAGAACTTTGACCGGCGTTGATCGGGCGTTAAACGACATTTGACTTTGACCGGGTATACATTTTCTGACATTTTTCGACGTCCTGAATTGGTTTTTTGGGTCCGTTTCATCAAATTCGAACATGATAAGCTGGTTTTCATTGATTTATCATCCGATTCGATCCGTTTTTCGAAATTTAGCTCCGTTTTTTATGTAATTCCTGTTGATATGCATCTGAAAAATTATTGGAAGTTGATTTCAAAATCGAGGGCGTTTGAATGGAATTTCTATGGTCGATTAGTATGGCGTGAAAATCGAGGTAATACATTACTACCTTTTCATGCTCTATGGAACATGTTGGTATTGGTAAATGCATGAATGGAAATGTTTGGTCTCATATGTGTAATTAAAGAAGTTCTACACACGATTCGAATACAGTAAAACTTCGGTAAATGAATATGGCTCAAATAACTGATATAAGAAATGGATGAATTGTTAGGATTAAATTATGAGTTTTGTGATTAGTGATAAAGATATTATCATGGATTTGTAGCATATAATCAAAGGTTAAATGTTAAAGGTACTTGGATGGGAAATTATGAGAATACTCCGATAGGGTAAAATTATGAAAATACCCTTATGTTGTAAGATGACAAGAATAGTTCCTGGAAGTTGGTTAATAACTCTGAAAAGACATATTGATCCGATAAAATTACAGATGTGCATAAGGAATGCTAGTTTTGCTTAAAAAATTTAGATAACTGGTTTTTAACCCCAAAAGGGTTTGTACAAGATGCTAGAAGTCTGTTAAGGAATTCATTTCAAGATCAGAGAATGTTCAGGAAAACAATTAACCATAGGATCTCTAAATTATATTATTCTCGTTAAGAGTAATACCGAAATTATTTGGTTAAGAAATTATGAAAATTCCCTTGAGGGGTAAAAATAGTCCGATTTGACC